ACATATTGACCTGACAACAGCCAGTGGCTCCAAGAACTATGGTGAATCAATGCCGGTTTCCACAGAGCTTTTCAGGTGTTGAAATTGTATAGCTATCAGTTTTACAACAATTTTGTGGTACTTCTTCACAATGAATTTAAATTGAGGATGGTGATCTGATCAATAGAGTTGAAGTAGAGTCACACGTGAGCCCTTTAAACTTATTCGTATCTGGGAGTATATATTGCACAAGAATGAGAACATTTGGCTCTATTTTTAAGGGCTTATAATGCCAGAATAACATATGATGTTTACTGTATTGATCTTTAGTGGCCTGATTTGGTACAGTTGTTCCGAGATCATGTATCTTCTTTGAAGTTTAGTATTCCTTTTCCAGTTTTAGTGTTTCTCGGAACTATACATCTGTCATACAAGGGAGATAAGGAAGTTGATGTGCTTACTTCTCATGTATGATTTTATACATGATATTCAATACTCTGAACCAAAAAACTGTGCACATAGACAAGTTGTGTTCAACTTTATTACTTTTACCTGTTATGGCATGAACTTAGTCCAATTGATTGTAGCAACCATATTAAACTCTTTGAAGCATTATTAAGACTAGTTTCTAATACCTCATGAATATGTTGATTTGCATCTCTTTATAATGTCTACTGACTTTTTCTTGGATCAGGACTCCATTGGTATCATTCCTCTATGAGAGGGGCTGGCGTCAAAGCTTTTCTGTCTGGGGTGGTTTTCCTGGCCCAGAGAAAGAGGTGAGATGATCAATTTCTTTATCACTGCATGGAAAAACAGATAGATCCATTGTGTTGCTGCCAAATATGCAATGTGGTTGTTTGAATGCTGAAAATATAAATCAAATTTTACTATTCTGTGCTTGATTTATCTCGCAAAAGGAGGTTGTCGAGTTGCTAACCGCACCATATTTTGACTGCAGTTTGAGTTGATTAAGGATTTCTTAAAGCCGGTCTTGGGTGGAAATATCATTGATGCAAGTTGTGGGAGTGGGCTATTTTCTAGACTTTTTGCGAAGAGTGGATTATTTTCTCTTGTTGTTGCTTTGGACTACTCGGAGAACATGTTGAAACAGACCTATGAATTCATTAAGAAGGAGGAGAATTTCCCCGAAGAGTACAGAACTTGATGCTTTCATTCAAATTTAGATGATACAGCTGCTGAAAGTTTGAAATGCTATTAGTGGATCTCGCCAAAATTTTGTTATCAATTTTGAAAATTTATTCCTAATTAAGTTTGTTTTTTATTAGGAACATAATTTTGGTCAGAGCTGATATTTCTAGGCTTCCCTTTGCTACAAGTTCTGTTGATGCGGTGCATGCTGGTGCTGCCCTACACTGTTGGCCTTCACCAGCAACAGGTGTAAGTACTTATTTACATATGGTGTTAAAGCTACCTGTTCTGCTTGCTCCAGCGACCCGTAAGGCTTAAATCTTAACATATCAGGACGCATCAGGCAGTGATGAAGTATTCATTTTGATTTGAAAGTACTGATATTTTCTGGCCGGGCCAGGAAAATTACTATTATCAGCATGAAAGTGTCTTTTTTCTTCTGTTTTTCTTCTGTTTTTAGTTTAACCAGTACTTGCTTTGAGTAATTTGGTAGCTGTGGTTTTGAAGGTTGCTGAAATCAGTCGAGTTCTGCGACCTGGTGGTGTGTTTGTTGCAACTACTTACATACTTGATGGGCCTTTATCTTATATCCCATTTTTGAGGAATATAACTCAGGTACATCTTTCCCCTAACTCAGAACCTGCATGCCTACAGTTCTGTCATTATGCTGAATGTGCCTCATGTAGTGGATGGTTTTGGGTTATAATTCTAACTTATCTCACTGGGTTTTGAATCTTTTGATTTCATCTCTTTTGTTTGCAGAGAACAAAGCAAATATCAGGCAGCCAAATCTTCACATCTGAACGTGAATTAGAAGATCTCTGCAAAGCATGTGGGCTAGTTGGTTATACCTGCGTGAGGAATGGGCTCTTTGTGATGATTTCTGCTACAAAACCCAGTTAAGCCACAAGCATTTCCCTTGCTTGTATAAAATTGTATAGGCATTTGAATTTGTTCCCATGGAAGTTGGTCGTTATAAAGAAACATAAATACTACATCAGATGGTATTCAAAAATTGGAAATTTATCTGGTGTTTGTAGTTCTACAACTAACTCATAAAGAAAAGGTATTCTGTATTCTTTTGGGAAATAATTTGCAGTTTGCTAGCCTCACATATTGTGCCAAAAAAATGAACTAATTGTTTCAGTACTGTTTAAAGTAAGATAACCATTTGGGACTGCTTCTTTAGGAAGCACTCTTGCTCATAAACACTTTTTTATACGCGCTCCTGTTAGAAGAACGTTGCAATTTTTATTAAACATCAAAGTACGTTTTGAAAAAGCACTATGAAGTGATTCCTGAAGAGAAAAAGTGGTTGTGACCTAGAATCACTTATAAGTTTTTTTTATTACAACCATTTTTTATGGAAAAAAAAAAAACTTTTTAGCCATTACAAAAACACTCCCAAACAAACCCCAAGTATTTATAAGATTTTCTCATGGATGAATATTCCTGGATAATTGTAGGTGTGAATGTCAACATCCATACTATTTCCTTAATAATTTGCAAAGCGAATGCTATTTTCCTAGCAAGTGGATCTTTTGAGCTGGTAGATCCCATGCAATCCGAAGGTCAATTGTAAAAGTAGGATAGTCTAGTATCTTCCTTGTCTTGAGACAAACTAAACAACACAACCATAATAGTACTCCCAAGTTAGAGACCACGAGACTCACAACCACGTACACAACCACAACTGAGCTCATAATAATGGCGACGCTTATTGGCAACCTCTTCTCCTCCCCGTTTCTTGTGAGTCAACTCGGTAACTCGAGGCCTCACAGGTTCAAGCTCAAGCCTTGCACTCCACCGATCCTAAAACGCTCCTTCACGGCAACTAACGTTAGAGCTTCTTCTTCCACCTCCTTGGTCGACACCACACCAACAGTACGTTGTTCTAGCTTCTTCTTTCAGGTTCTCTGTTTGGTTGCAGAGAAAACGGCTGGAAAAGAAAGAAAAAAAAAGAAAGATTAAGAGCTTTTCTTTTCTTGCTCCATTTGCCTTGAATGATAATTAATGAAATAAAGTTGTACGGATAAATTTAATCTTGAAATTAGATCCAACTGTGGTTCAAAATGAGGCCACCACAAAAAACAACATTCCAGTATGCTTTAATCCATTATTACGGACTGTTTCGACCCGGAAAAAAAAAACCATTATTAGGGACCGTTGATCACTCCATGAAAAAACAAACAGACTCAATGTGTTGCTGCCAAACATGCAATGTGGTTGTTTGAAATGTTGAAAGGAAGCTGTTGTGTTGCTAACTGTTATAACTGCAGTTTGAGTTGGCTAAGGATTTCTTAAAGCCTGTCTACGGTGGAAGTATCATTGATACTAGCTGTGGCAGTGGATTATTTTCTAGACTTTTCGCCAGGAGCGGATTGTTTTCTCTCGTTGTTGCTCAGAAAACATGTTGCAGCAGCAGTGCTATGAATTCATTCAACAGGAGGATAATATTGACGATAAAACTACTAAAAGTTTCAATGCTTTTAGTTCCTCTGAGGGAACTTTCCTGAAATGTCTGCAATCAATTTTGAAAATTTTATGTCTTATTAAGTTTTTTATTTTAGGAAGGTTTTGGTCAGAGCTGACATTTCTAGGCCTCCCTTTGCTACAAGTTCCCTTGATGCAGTGGATGCTGGTACTGCCCTACATTGTTGACCTTCACCATCAACAGCTGTAAGTATATCTCTTCTTTTTGGATTTTGGTTTCACCAGTATATTCTCTGAGTAATTTGGCAGCTATGGTTTTGAAGGTCGCTGATTAGTTGAGTTTTGCGACCTGGTGGGTATTTGTTGCCACTATTTACATATTTGACGGTCCTTTGCTTTTGAACCATTTTTAAGGGATGTAAGCCCGGTATGCATCTTCTATTAAGAACCTGCCGCATGGCTCTATTTCTAGAAAATTTCTTAGGTTGGATGTGATCATCACACCGTCACATAGTGTTACTAACATGTTATAATATAGATGGTTTTCTTTTCTTTTCTAGAACATAAGTCATATAACGGGCAGCCAACAGTTCGTATCTGACAGTGAATTGGAAGATCTCTGCAATGTATGTGGTCTAGTCGGTTTTACAAAGCGTTAGGAACAGGGCTTTTGTGATGATCTCTGCTACAAAACCCAATTAATTAAGCCTTCTTTTGCCATAAGGATCTCCTAAGCTTGTATGGGATTGTATACCGAGTTTATGGATAGAAACATTAGTGTCAGTAATATTACTCACTATTTACATTCCGGTATTTTGAATGTCTTATGGTGACAATGTAAAACATTAATAAAATTACAAATAACAGTTTATGGTAGAATCCATATTATTTCTAAGTGAGATTCATATGGATCCACAAACAATATGATTCTCATCATATGATTATGCGTCATCTCATTATTGGTTGTTATATCATGTAAGCATTGTTGACGTGGTACAGCCATTGTACCCAACCTTCCCACAAGAAAGGAGACTCTAAACAGTAAACAGAATGACAAGAAAGGTTGCAAAGAAACCATGAACCTGTAGACTGTAGTCGAACTCTGCAGTTGGTTAGTATTGAAGATGCTTTCTCCGGTGCATGCACATGTAATTTCTAGTTGAAGGTCAAAACCGGACGGATATAATTCTTCTGCACATGTATGGTATGTGGATGTGCTTGAATGGAGTTTGAATGCTCAGTGAAATCTGGGTTAGATTACTGTGGGCTCAAATTGGAGAATGTTAACTGACGGTACAGCAATGTCTGCTCGTCATCATCAGCATCAGCATCCAGAGCATCCTCGCCCTC